TCAGCACCTTAAAAAAAAAAAAAAAGCAATGTCCCGCAATGGGAATCATCCACCCAAAAGCTCTGGGAGCATCAGGGATGCCCAAACGGAGCAGGACCACGTGCTCCTCAGCAGCACATCCCTGATGGCACCAGTTGCTCCGATTTGGCCCTGAGGGAGGCAGCCCCGGGTGCGACGCTGGAGCCAAGCATTGAGAAATACAGGAATCTATTCCCTGCGTGTGAGCTGGGGGTTTTCTCCAAAAACACTGGCTGCCTTCATAAATCATAGAATCGCTTTGGTTGGAAAAGACCTTTGAGATCATCGAGTCCAACCTTTAACCTAACCCTGCCATCCCACCACTAAACCCTGTCCCTAAGCACCTCATCCATCCTTCTTTTAAATCCCTCCAGGGATGGGGACTCGACCACCTCCCTGGGCAGCCCCTTCCAGAGTCTGACAACCCTTTCGGTGAAGAAATTTTACCTAATGTCCAACCTAAACCTGCCCTGGCACAACTTCAAACCGTTCCCCCTCGTCCTATCGCCCGTTACCAGGGAGAAGAATAAATAACCACCCGATTCCTCCCGTTTGCAGCAGCTTCACCCAGAAACATCTGCAGCACCAGCTCCCCCAGGAAGGGAGAAGCCGGGAGGGGCCCCCCCCCCCAGCCATAGGCTCCTTCTCTGCCCTCCGGAAAAGTTCCTTCTGAAACTCGGCGGCAGAGATTGAGTCACTAAAACGCCGTGACATCACTGGCGGTTTTTGCTAGCGAGCAGCCGTGCTTCCTGTTATGCCCGGGCGCCTATAGATATATATACCCGCACGCATAGGTGCGTGCTTTCAGTGAGCGATCGCCTTCGCTCTCCTTCCTCCCAGCGTCGCTTCCCGCAACCCTCGCTTCTCTTTTCCAGCGCCAGCAGCCAGGACCGGCGGCGGGGCTGGAGATCTGGGTCCTGCTAAGAGGATGAAAACATGGGGCTCAAGTTATCCTGCCTGAAAGGTACGTTTGGGTGGGTGGCATTGGGGTTGCTCCTGCTCCGTGAAGGTATTTAGGGGGGTGGTTATACACGGAGGAGCTTTAGGTGTTTCTGTCGTGGGCAGGACTGGTGTGGTTTGGTGTCTTGGTGGGGTTTAAGCAAGTCCCATGGGTGACCCGTTGCTCATGCATCATCCCGAAACCGCTTTCCTCATCCCTTACCGCAGCCCTAGAAATATAGAAGGGTCCAGGGCGGTGTTTGCTCCTGCGTCCTTTGCTCTGAGCATCCTTGGGCTGATGGCAATCCCTCGAGAAATCGGGATGGGCTTTCCTTACAGGTGGGAAAGAGCCAGCATGGATGGGATGCTTGGGGTCAGCCCGGAGGCCGGGAGCCGGGGTACC